GATGATGAGAATCAAAGCTACAATGACACCGAACACAATCAGTTTAATCTTCATATTCTGAATCCACATTTTTCTCTTCATCTTCGTCCCTTGTGTCCTAAAATCCTGTGCCTAAAACTCGAACAGAAAATACGAACCACGTCAATGAAAGCCAGAAAAACGATCTAATCCAGAACAAATATCGTAAGCGTGCAGAATAAAGAGTTAAATGAGTAGATCATGAAGGCCTTCGCAGTTCAAATATGGATAAATATGTTCAAGTTCTCTATCTAACCTGTGACCGGAGATTATCAGTCTTATCAACAAGAATCTCAATCTTCTCTCCACGGTCAAGAACCTTTAAATGCAAATAGAGTTAAACATGTGTAATGACCTATATAAATAGCAAAAATAACAAAGGTTTCAATGATGAGGAACCGTTCTACACCTTCTCAATGTTTCCCATCATCACTCCCTTTACTTCCGAAACCTGAGCCTTGGCTTTAGCAAGGTTGTCAATTTCTTCAGGATGATCAATGCAGTACTTCATGTGCTCTTTCAATTTTGGCCTACAATAGCATCAGGTATTTGGCAAAGCCCACAAAAACTGAAAAGCAACTTATAAACGGTGAAAAAGGAAATTACCCAAATTCCTTTTTCAGGCTATTGGCACCTGCAGTTGAAGCTTTCGACCCTCCATATCTCTTGTTAAAATCATCCTTCATGCGCTCTAGAAAGGCAATTGGAACTTGCTTGCCAGCAGAATCAGCAGCAACAATGCAGTAGGCTATATAAAGCACAAAATAAAGTAAGAGAGTTGATGAACCAGAAATTCAAACATACAAAGCATCAAACAGTTCAGAAAAAGAATGCTTAAGTCACCGAGTTATACAAGTCTTTGACTAGAGGACACCTAAATAACAAAAATTCTGGACTTCAAAAATTAATAGTAGTAAAAATTCTGCAAATTTATTCATCCTAGTTAACCCTTCAGTACAATCCAAAGAAATAAAGATGTGAAACGGAAAATAGTGGGACTTATTAGCTTGAGAAGCTAAGGACATACTGTAATATACAACTGTATGTAAAGTGCCATATGAAGCTGATAGCCCCAATATGTGCAGCTCAGCTGCACAAGCTTAACATTTAAGCATGTTTGGGAAGTGTTTACAGAGGGTTTAAATTATAAATTGATAGAAAAATGAGTGATGGATAAGTAGATAATGAAGGGGGGATCCCTCGAAATGTATGGATAAAAATTGGTTTGACCAATTATAAACAATTTATAAACATTAGTTGGGAAGAATCATTATGTGAGGATCATTGAGAAAATGGAGAGTAGATCGGGAGAGAGTCGAGGCTCTCAAATGCTCGAGAACACTTCCTGATTTCTTTTCAATTTCCAATGCAATGCCATTCTTTTTTCATTCAATATATGCACAAAAATACAAATACATATCAGGTTCCTATTAGAAGCTTATGAAAATTAATCTATTTAACACCAACAGTTACGAAAGGGTGGGAGAAGGAAGACAGCACACGCACATGAAGATAACACACAATCAGGAAAATGCTGTCTGTCAATCAAACATAAAACTTCTATTTTCTTGTTTCAATGAGCATCTAAACTGAAGGAATGCCGATTGTGACAAGAATATAATGTTCTTTTCTACAACCAAAATGATTAAAGTAAAAATGAGCTGGGAGAAAAAAGAAATGTCGATATTATTGCAGCCACAAGAAGGCAGTGAGAAAACAACTGAAGTACAGTTCGACTCAAGTACTTCCGTCTGGCCCAAACAACACAATTCATCTCACACCATACTAGAAGATGATAGATGCCTTTGAAATTAGAATGGAAATGATTTATTGACAGAATTCTAATGTTATTTCATTAAAATTTCCGAACTTCCTTAAATCATTATTCACCACTACCACAAAATATTTCCTTTATCATAGAAATATAAAACATTTTCACTGATATATATGACGAAGACACCCAAAAACACATCAAACAGTGTGTTCGCATGTGTAGATAAAAGCAAGAACGCGTAATCACTTCACTTTTCGACCAAATATTCAATCCACAAGTGTTTGTGTCTGCATAAACATCATTACTTTTCAGCTCTGCAACTAAAGCATGCAAATTTCAATCATCGAATACTTTTAAATGTATTTGAAAATCTCCTTTATAACAACTGAGATTTCATATACATCCAAAATCCCACATTCCTATTCCAGAAAAACTCATTCCGCTAAAATATATACATATTTCCCCCACTCCCCTTGAAATTTTTCAACAACCATTTCCAGTTTTACATTCATAGAAATCAAGCAAAATGAAAATAGAAATCATCAGATCAAAATGGGCATTAGAGTAACAAAAATTGATATAAAAATTAGATATCTACAAAATCAAAGGTAAAGTAACATACTAAATCCATTTTCCACAAGGTAATTAAAGGTATGGCCATCACAATCGTAAGTGAATTTGTTATTTGATGCAGGCAGCTTCTCCAAGCATTGGGATGCTATGCTGGTGAAATTCCCTGAAAATTCAGTGTACTCGGCTAATATAACGGTGCCCCGTGCAACAAAGCTATAGATCAATGTTCGCTGACCCATTATAGACAATTTTTACACGTGATTCTTGAAAAGAAAAACCCAGAACCCGAATTGGAAAAAGAGATGAAAGAAAGATTTTAAGAAATTCAGTTCAGAATTTGGGAATAAGAAATGGATTTGAGTGATGAAATAGAAATTTAAGGCTGTGAAGACGAATGGATCCGAGAAAAC